TGTCGTAGATTTCTTCAGGGAGTTTTTTACGAGTTAGTTGTTTGTCATATCGGGGTATGTTAGACGTTTGGGCTTCTGCAGTGTGTTCGTCATAACGAGGATTTCGTTATATCGAAGTTCGTTACATCGAGGTTTTGTCTAATACATTTTACAGTAACTTTGGCCGGGCTGAAGAGTACCGTTCGTTATACCGAGGACTTCGTTATGTAGAGTTTCGTTAAATCCGGGTTCTACTGTATTAAGTTAGTTAAGTGTACCTGAATACAGGTTGAAGATCGTCAGTCAGTTCTCCCATTACGTGCAACAGTCGACAAGCCTCCAGAGCAGCAAGCATTTCACACTTGACTCTAGCTTTTCTCACTTCATCCTCGTTAATGTCAGTCCTCTTCAATGTTACACTGCCCTGGATGACAAAATATGCGAAAATAAATAAGGGAAACAAATCTTCGAATGAGGACCCACTTAAACGTTTGCACCCTAACATCACTATGCATTTCCTCCATACTGCTCTCAATATACTCCATAAGAGCTTTTTTATTTGGTGATCATTCTTTTATTCTAGTGACCTTAATGTGTGATTTCAGTGGTAATATTGCGAGGAGAAATAAGATACGAATTACTCTTAGGAGTCAAAGAGTCAATATCTGGAGGCAAGCCACAAGACCAGGCTCCAGTATACACTTGTCTTTTTGAGTCGCTGCTTTTATAAAATAGCATTGCATGCCAAAATATATCCAGTGGAAACTGAAAAGCTCATAAAAACAGGCTGAGGTTCAACAAAACCACAAAAGAGAACATTAAATTTTAGTAACACAAGTCATGAGCTAATCATGATTGTTCCCATTTCCTGTAATTAATGAGTTTTTAATAATCATACCTTTGTAGGTTGGTAAACAGGAGAGTTTCGGGGGAGGTGCAGCATAGCAACAAACTCTACTTCCTGGTCAGACCACACTTCTTGTATTCTACACACAGGGACTGGATTGCCCATTCCGCCACTGGGGAACTTGCTACAATAACTAGTTAACAGTGCATAGGATTGATACTAAGAGTTATTTTTTAATGGCTGATTACTTGAGATGAAATCTGTAAATTATGTTTTTCTTGCACAGTACATTTTTCACAAGCAAGGGAAAAAGAGGAAGAAACCAAGAAACATGTATTATGGACTTGAGTAATTACCCACTGATGCACTGAAATGGAGAGAGGGTGGTGGGCTGGAGTATGTAAAGGTTTCCATTTGTCCAGCCAGCCCCCAAATGAAAAACTACCCCCATGCCTGGCACATCTCGGCAACCTTAACATAAGCCCCTATTCCAGGCAACTGTTGACATTGATTGGACCAGTGTTAGGAGAAAAAAATACAGGAGGGGTTGGGTGGGGGAATGCTTGAAAATGACTATTTCTGTCTTTGAACTGCTGTGGAGTAACTGTGACCAAATCACTCAAGAACTCAAAGATGCCAGCTGTTATGAAGTTGCACTGTTATATATGAGCCTAGGCCCTGACCAAACAAGCCTCCTAAGTTTTAGTTTATTACAGTCAACTTTGTGTAATTGTCATTTGACTAAATTTAACATTGCCATTCACACCTGTTAACCAGAGCAATACTGGAGAGAAGATCAACCTCAGCACCTACTTCACCAAAGGGTTGATAGACATCCACCAGGCTCTCTTGAAACAGTTTCCTTATCTCTGAACCTGGAGGCCGGCTGTTTGGACACCTGTCCATTAAAAGTTTCTCTATCCTCTGAAAAGTCTGCAAGCAATAATGATATATTTAGTGGCATACAAGCTCACTTATCATATTTACCTATTCAAATTAAAAATCTTTTAGCTTAGCTATTGATCCCAATCTTTGCAAACTAACAAATGAATGCAAAATCACCAAAAAAACCACACTGGAATTTGTAGTTGTAACTCAAAGCTGCCTTCACATTTATTTCGTAAACAGTCTAGCACCATTAATGGCAATTTTAGCCACTAGCAAAATTTTTTGAAGGATGTAATTTCAGGTTTAAGAAAGTCTGTTCCTCCCAGGTTTCACCATAATGAATTCCAAAGATTCCTCTGAACCAATTACATGTATAAACAGTACCTGGTATTTCTCCTCTGTCTTAAGCAGTTCTTCTTCTCTCACAAGAACTACAAGGTTGCCTGCAGCAGACTTCAGTTTACTCTTTATGCTGTAATAACTCTTGTAAGTATTTGGCATACCCAAACGAATCAACAGACTACATCTCTTGGCATACAGTTCTTGTTCAATTTCAAATGTTGCAACCAGAACATTCACAGAACCATCTTGAACACACACCATTACACTGTCATCCACTTCTTCAGAAAAATTTGACTCTTTCATTTCTTGTTTTGCTTTATTACCATAGATGCATGCACTCCTAAGGAAGCTGTACTTGAAAACTGTACTGGACAGCTTGTTAAGAAGTGAATTCAGTGCCTTTGCAACAATTGTGCTAGGAACAAGAATAACACAAAGAGGATCATTGCATTGAGTTTTAGTCCCATAAGATCCTTGCACCTTTGAATGATTTGTGGCTTGAGGATTGTCTTGACATTCACAAGAAGGATTCTGGCCTATGACAAGTGATTCGGTAGACTGGTTAGGTTCCTTGCATAGGCTCTGATCAGTATCTGAAGTTTTCTCTGAGTCATTTTTCTGCTGGTGTTCAGGTTTTAAATGCATGGATGTGCGAAAGAGAAGTATTGTTCCTAAATCAGTTAAGTCATTCTCAGAAATTTCCAACTTTTCTTGTTCTAAAATACTGATAACTAAACTAATCTGTGTTCTACAGAACTGTAAAATAAGCACAATCTCATTGTCTATGGACTTCTTCGCCAGCTTTTCAATCTCCTTAACAATGATTTTTGCCACATACAAGGTACACCACGATCCCAACAATAAAAGAACCCTGTAGCCCTCAGTCAAAACATGTCTTACAAATGCTACACAGGTGTCAGTCACTTGATCTATTCTGTAACCTTTTAGAAATAACAAAGCACTTTGTAAAATATCACTCAGATTGGAAATACGTTGATCCTGGACATGACTGCTGGTAAAACAACATATTTCCATTTCAGTGTATTCTCCATATTGGTTCAAAGCCAGAAGATCACTAGAAACAAATGTTTTGCAATGAAATATCTGCTCCAGTGAGGTTAAGAAGATTTCCATATCCTTTGAACAATCTTGATGGTGAAGAATTTGTGATGAAAGGCCTACAATCTGTGGTCTAGAATCAAGTTTACTCAGTTCCATTTGCTTTAGTATAACTGAAAAATGGTTCTCCTCTTTTAAGGCAAGATGGCATTCATCAAAAATAATTAAACTGCATGATGACAGGTCCACTGTTCTAGCAATCAACATCCATGCAAAAGCCTTCCCTGTTGTCACTATGATGTTATACATGGAGAAAATGAAGTTCCACTCATCTTCCACAGCTGTTTTACTGAAAAATGCTTTGGCAGATAGGAGACTTTGCTCTGATATTCCTGTTAGGAAAGGCTCTACAATGGCGGCTGATAAAATAATGAAGAAGATCAATATGAAAACCTAATCACCTCTTTATGCAGCTGGCTGGTATGCAATGATGATTCAGTGATCAGTAAGATACTTAACCCTGATTTCTGCCCCACATATTAAAATGTTAGCACAAGTAACCCTTAATAGCTACCAGCCCTAAACATGACCTAAAATATATTTCTCTTTAAATTATTAATACATTTTTTAAACTCAAAGGTGATAAGTAAGAAAAACACCAAATAAGCAATATGATATGATTTAAAACCAAATTCCCGGAGTTAAAATTATTAGGAATGTATCGCTCGCAATGCAGAAAACTCGCGTTTTGATCTTGAGATTAAATTATTTTAATACCGCAAGAAAACTATTCAGATAGAACAAAAATTTGCCTAGCCTTTGGTAAGTTTCCTGACTTACGCTATCAATTTTAGTAAAATACTTTCTGTTTACCTCAGCAGCGCAGAATAACCGAATCGTGAAATATTAACTTATATTACTCTTAAAAGGTGCACCGGATCTAACCGCAGCTCCCTGTTGAAAAAGCTGCGTGTATTAATAATAGCTTTGACTACCCAACCTCACCTTTCTCATCATCCACCAGAAGAATTATTTTGCCACATTTCACGCTTTTTCTCCAAAATCCTTGACTCACATTAAACGCGATGAATGTTTTTGACTTGATACTTGACACACAAACAACGCAATCTTGTTCACTCGCCAGCACTCGTTCAGCTAAATCAACAGAATGATTTGGCCTTAAAAACGACATCTCCTGGGCCCTTTTCATTTCATCCATGTCTTCGTTACACCAATTCCGAGAGCTAGTAATGTAAATTTTTGACTACATGTGCATTATTCACGTTTTTCCTTCAAATGAAAGGGAGATCCAGTGTGTTAGTTCCCAGTCTTCACCAAATGACGAGGGCACCGTACAAAACGCTAACCAATGGGTGTAGGGTGGGGGGGATGGTGATCCCGATCGATGGGTGCATTTCCAGGTTCATATCTGCACTTGAGTGTGGCATTTAAACGCTGCTTTTGCCCCAAGGGACTGGAATTGCGACAAACCTTTCTTCAAAAGTTCAAATGCCCGGGTGGGGTCGGGTGGGGATGTTGAAGCTTCTAATTGATTGACCCATTGAGACTGGTGACAAGCAGGCAGAACAACAGAGAAATAAATCAAAAGATGTTTTGTTCAGACAGATTCCGTTTTTCAGCGTTATCTTTGTACGGTAATTCTTGAGTAAACAAAATGCTGATGACATACTTGTGCCAAACCCTAAGCTAAATAAAGAGTAGCATATGGGCTCTCCTCGGGAAAAAAAAAAAAAAAAGGCTATTTTTCTTCTTAGTTTTTTGTGCTTAAAACCAGCTAAAATGATCTGACTTTAGAGCTCCGTCATGGTAACCCCCTCCTCAAAAAAGTGGATAACATAACAGTTTAATGTTTTTTTCCATGTCTTTCTTCTCTTTATTAGCACCTTGATTAGTTTTCTAACATTTCTAAAAAGTTAGAAAATTCTTGTAAGAATTTACTCTCATTGCATGAATATATTTGTTCATCTTCTGATTCTTTGACCATTAAGTTTCCTTCTGAGATGAAGTTCTATTATTTTTATTTTTTGGTGTTTGTAAACCCTATCAAAATATTATTTTAGGTTTTAAATAATGTTTTTCTTTCCTGGTAAATTTAAGTTTTTGGATAAAAAAAATCCTAAAAAAAATATATGCTTGACTTTTCACATGACAGAGCATTTCTTTTTGTCATAGCCACATGACATTGTAGATTTTGTGACCAAGTCTGGAACACAGCTTTCCAGAAGACGACTATCAAGGAACCCTTTGAAAACCCTTACGGAACAGGCATTTATGAAGGTGTGATTGCAAACAGAAATAGCTATTTCAGTTTTTAGGTTCCATTCATCTTCCTCTGGATCATAGCCTTCAATTTTCAAGTGTAAATCTTTGACTCTACAACCTGATTTGCCCACACTCACAAGGAGCAATGCATACAAATTTCCATCAATAGACAAGAGATTTCTCAAATCTTTGGGTCTGAAATCAAAACACTTAAAACTTGAAATAAACTGCCACACATTTGTTGCTGGATCATACACTTCGCAAGGCTGTATGGCCTCCCCAGCATTGATTCCTCCGGCAATAAAGACCTTTCCACCAACCGCAGCACCATAAGTCCAATCTCGCACCACATGAGTGTTAGGAATTTTGTCCCATTGGTGATTACCAAGGTGGTACCTTTCAACATCACTCACAAGGGTGCATTTGTTCCCTAGTTGCCATTTTATTCCACCAATAAAATACACAAAGTCATCATGAGCCACAATGCACATATCCTCTCTAGAATGTAGATGGTTCAGTCTCCCTATCAGTTGCCATGAATTTGAATCAGGGTTGTACTTTGTAATAGAGAAACTGTGTTTCTCTTCATCACAGAACAAGCGGCGGGCATGCAATCTACAAAAATCATCAAAATTTTTAGATCTATTGGTACAGGGTTCTGCTTCCAAGGCATAAATTTCATCTTCATCTTTGATAAATATTTGACGCATATATTTAGTTTCCTCTATGGAGGGGAGTTGCACCCAGCTGTCGCCATATGGATTATAGGATACATGTTTCCAGTATTGCTCATTTGTAGCCACTGATTCTAGAACAGTGCCATACAGTTTTCCATGACAAGAAAAGACTGGGCCATTTCTGATATATTTAGAAGGCATCTCACCCACTGTGCACCACTTATGCTCCTGAGGAAAATAGCACACAATATCTTTGCTTCCATAACATAGTAACACAGAAGTCTCGAGGGACCTTCTTGGACGTAGGATTGATGGATTGTCGAAGTCTTCTGCGTCAATCAATTGCAGAGCCTCTTCAACGAGACCTAAGCAATCATTGTCCTTTACCAGGTCATCGGTCACAATATTGCTGCAGAGAAAGTCACGCGATATGTAAACAAGGCGAACGCGAGAAAAGAGCTCAGCAAAACACTTCTTTCTTCCTCTTTTGTCACGATTTATCCAAGCTAAAATTATTTCAAACACATCTTTCTCGGCATTTATTTCAATTTCGTCTTCTGAAATCCACATTTCGATTTCTTTGCTCGATAAATTCAGGAACGCATCTGTTTTCGAGATGGTGGAAAAATTTTTGAGAACAAATTTTTTGCTTAGGGAAGAAAGTTGCTCGCTTTGATATCTCTCGAAAAAATAGTAATTTGAAAGACAATTTGAAATATTCAGCTCTAGTTTCGGTGCTAAAACTCCCTCCGCGAGAGTTTTTAAGTCGTGGAGAAACAGAAAGTCGGCCATAGCAATGATCTCACGAGCTTCATCGGCTGCGATCTCCACCTGACCACTGTAGATAAACTTCAGCGTGTTTCTCATAACAGCTTCGGTGAACATCTCCAAGCGAATAACTCCTTCCTTAGACTCTTTCATCTCACTGTTAAGCAGCTTTTCAAAGAACGGACTTGCTTTTGAAAGAATTTGCTTGTGAGCTTTGAACTCGACATCTTCAGCAACAAGAGTGACATCAAATGGCTGGTCGAGTGCTTCTTTCGCAATACACGATTTGAGGTTTTCATTGCTTGGGCGGAGAGAAATACATTGTCTACAACTGCCAGCATTGTTTGAATCGATTTTGATCATACTCATTGTATGGAAGTGACCAAATTGAACAAAATCTGTTTAAAAGGCACAGACACTATTCAGCTGCTGCCCGCCTCTATTTCCTCAGTGGTGGAAAAAATTGGGGGAGAAACTGGAAGCTAGTGAGGACAGCGATCGAGAGGCGCGAGCGAGAAGTCGTCACGCGCGAGCAAAGAGAGACTTGAACTGGTGTGGGGTGGAAAGGTTAGCGTGAAACAGAAACACTTGGAGTTCAATTTTCTTCAGAACTACAACTGGACATTTACAGGTTGACGGATGGAAACGTGCAAAGACACAAGTTGTCCTCCATACAAAATAGAATTATGCACTATACGTTGCTTTCTCCTCGTAAAATTAGAATTTTCTTTAGAAGAGTTTATAGTGTGGTAACTTTGGCATGCAGATAAAAATTAAACTTAGTTTACAGTATGAAGATTAGTAAACATAAAGAAAAAGGCTGAAAAATCACATAGCTAGAATGGAGTTGAAAAATAAACTTGACCCTTTAACTTCCAGAAGTGATTAACATGAAACTTCTCCCTATAATATCCATACATTATCCAGCAAACAGGTAATGAGAATACTCAAACTTATCAGGTAGAAGTTGCTATCCTGATCTAACACCATTTTCTCATAACTAATTTACAAGGAAACTTGTGGCAGCTAGAAGGGAGAATCAACAATCAGATCTTGGGAGTTAAAGGGTTAAATTTACTGACTTTTTGTTATCATTATTATTTTTTTTTTGTAGTCCTGATATTCTTTGTTTTCATTTTTTTTTTCAAGTAAATTTTTTAAATTTTTACAGATTTCCCATTATTCTATAGTTGCTTATTGTCTCTTTGAAAATCAGCTGAACAGGGAGTTGAAAAAATCCCAACAAGGAGTAATCCACTTGGAGATGTATACACAAGTAGTCATGAGGAACTGTGGAATCTAATAACAGTCACTCATAAATAGTTTTTGTCATCTCCCCAGATTAATCTTGAATTTAAGAATCTTTGGCACATTTCTTATGGTAAGTGAAATTCTTGTATTTCGTTGTAAAATGTCTCCAAGGGTAGCATTATTACAAGCATCCAGATTAGCCACCTTATCTGTGACAACATCATAAGTTCTCTCTGCAATACCATGTAAGTAATTGTGATAGAGGTCTCCTGTCAGTAGGAATAAGCTTCTGGGCTCCAATAAAAGTGACATAAAGTAGCGTTCATTCAGCATTGATGCTGAAGCATTCTCCTGAAAGTAAAAAAAAACAAAGCAAAATTTCTTTTAACGCAATGAACATACATTAAGGGAAATGGTCAAAAGTATTGAGCATGCTAAGGACTCACTTTCGGAATTTGAGCCCATGGTATCCCATCATAGCACCCCTCTCCTTCCTCATAACACAAGGTATCTGCTATAACCCCACCTCCCCTACACAAGGTACCCATCAGAGATGGTAACTGCTATAACCCCTCTATCCTGCACAGGAGACCCATGGTACCTGCTATAACACCACCACCCCAAAAACTTAATGGCTATCTGATTTAATTGTTCTCATTTCCCTATATTTACTTTTAACACCATGGAATGATTATCTAAAGCTAGCCCTAACCTCTGTTTTCTCTGAAGCCTTTTTCAAAGGATGGTAAAAATCCAAAAAGGTGTGGGATCCAAGATTTATTGTTGAGACCACTGGATAGAACAACGGACCATCTTCGTGAGGCTGAAAGACAGGAAAACAGTTAGAAAATATAAAACTGCATGGGCTTTTGACAAAACACCTCCACTGTCTTCAAGAGTGGTTATATACAAAAATCAAATTAGGCACATGCAGCTCAATCCTCCATGTCAGGGGAGCACTCAGTGCTCGTAAAATGAATGGATCTTTAAACTTGGAAATAACTGTCATTGTTTGATGTAAATGCCCAATATTGATGACACTGCTGTCCAGGAGTGTCAAAGTGACTGAAATTTTGACCACAAGAGCTGAAGACATTATTGTGGAAAGCTGTTTATCCAGTGAATGTTGTAAATCTAGTTGGTTCTAATTGGTTAGTGTGGCATCCATTGTATTGGCTTTCAGTTGGGTGGAATCATTCTGTTAGTTGGTTAGGTTAATAGATATCTGATTTTTGTGGCTAAGTTGTTTTTTGTTTTTTTATTAGAGTCTGTGATATTTCTCTTTTCAATGTGTACCTTAGTTTATACACAGATCTACTGCAATTGAATAAATAATCATTTAGCAAATGTTGCAATAATATGTTAGCAACAAACTACCATAAAGACTTGTGTACAAGCCACACCTTTTTGCTTAAGTTTTGGGCCAAAAATTGCAGGTGCGGCTTATACATGAGACCATTATTTGTCTCTAGTATCCAGACTTCCCACGTGGTTACCAAGCAAACATTTTCCATCATTCTCCTGCACTTTATTTTTGGTCAAATTCCATTGTTTTCATTTTAGCTGTGGGCTCAAGCAATGAAGACAACTGTTGTCAGTCACAGGGAAATCGATTAAAGAAAAGCTTTTAAAAGGTATTTTCAGAGTTGATTAACTTATCAATGTCACTGCAAATACACAACATTAGATTTAGTTGAGTTTATTGTGAACATCTGTGAATAAACAACCAACCCTTTTTTTTACAAGAGTGCTTTTTTGGAGTTTCTTTTTTGCCAAAATCATGCTTGAAAGTTGGGGGTGCAGCTTATACACAAGTGTGGCTTACACACAAGTTTCTATGGTAACTTCTAAAAAGATCTCAGGCATCATTAAATGTGCAATTATACATTTGATAAAACATTGAGGGCTAATAGTATTAGTTAATAATTTATCGACCTTGTTCCCAGGTTCTCTCTTCCTGACCTGTAAGAGGAGAAAAACTTGGAACAAGATTGGATAATTAATCTAAACTACCCCACAAGTTGATTCTAAATTTTAAGTCAGTGAATTAAATGGTGGCTAAAAATATCATTTAAAACCTTACCATAATTCCTTGACCAGGTTCATACTCATTCACAAGGACATGATTCGGAGTGACAGTGTTAAAAACTGGCAAGGATCCAACTTGAGTTGTATATTTTTCCAGCCACTAAAATTGTGATGATCAAGTATTAGCAAAAGTCTAGGTTACAAAAAAATTAATATCTGGAAATAGTCTGTTTTGAATCAAATTAAGGTCAGATCAAGTACATACCCTTGGCAGTTTTTCCAGCACCATTCCCTACATAGAACAAAGAAAAAAAAAATTATAGATTCAGAAAATTCAAGAATATAATGACTAACTCCTTGTAATATCATGAAATTCATTAACTACATTATTGAACAGAAAGATGAAAAAAGAAAATTATTTTCAAGGGAATATCATTGGATTCAACATGGAATTCTCAAAGCTAATTAACACTTGCAAGAATTGTATGACAAACAGTTGTTGGAATTTATAAAGAGCTCTTAACTCTTCTATTCCTGTGAGTGACCAAATCAGAATTTCTCCTTAACTTATCAGTACAATATCAAGTAAAAAGAAAGAAAAAAATATGAATTAGGGAATTATTATTTGATGCAATGCCAAATTCTCTGAACCAACATTATCATAAGAACTGCATGGCGGACATTACGGATAATTATTAACTCTTTAACTCCCAGAGGTGATTGATATGAAACTTCTCCCTTTAATATCCATACTTCATTCAGCAAACAGGTAATGAGAATATTCAAACTTATCAGGTAGAAGCTGCTATCTTGATTTACCACTAAGTTCTTATAACTAATTTACAAGGAAGCAGGCTAGAGGGGAGAATTAACAATTAGATCTTAGGAGTGAAAGAGTTTAGAGACTAAGGACTCAACTTTAATTTATCACACACACAGTTTTATGCCATCTTCCAAACACCAATAGGAAAATAAAGTTGTGTCTCTTTTTTATTTGAACTTTTGAAAAAAGTTGTCATTTTTTGTTTTGTCATACAAATGGAGTCCCAACATTTACACAGGATTTAATAAAAACTACTGAAATTATAGCTTTTTGTTTACCTTTGGGTGAGGAAGACCACCTGCAAAATATTCCAAATAAAAAACATCAGTTTGGCATTCATATCATCCTATTTCAAATTGCTGTATTTTTTCAAATTCCTTGTTGGTCCAGCGCTTTTCAAGAATAACTGCTTTTTTTCGTAAAATTTTGCTCATGAATCATGCTTGAAACAAAGGAAAACAAAAGTCAATCTAGGTAGACAAATTAACCCTTTAACTCCCATGAGTGACCAAGACAGAATTTCTCCTTACAATATCAATACAAAGTCAACCAGATAAGTGATAAGAATAATGAAAAATATTAATTCAGGGATAATACATTGATCCAATACTAACTTCTCTGAACTAACGTTATAAGAATTGTATGGTTGACATTCAGGAGAATTACAAATTTGATCTGGGAGTTAAAGGGTTAATATTCTAGCACTAGAAAAGAGAACCATTTTCACACATAAATGACATTTAAAATGTTGCATATTGCTGTCCAACTTTTCTTCCAAAAAACCAATTCAATCAACAAAACCTACAAGCAACATGAAGGTTATTCACCAATTGACTGTAGTTATGAAAATTTAAAAATTATTATACTATAAACAGATATGTGTGCTGGCATGCTCACCCCAGTTTTGAAGCCTCCTTCCCGACAGCTTGGTCCATTTTGGCTTAGGAGCACCATTTACCTAATCAAAAAAAAGATAAAATGCACAACTTACTTGGCTTAATTTTAAGGTGTTCATTCGCTTATTTATCTATTCGCTTAATTTTTTGGGTTTCCCCCCCTTAAAAATAAAATCCGGTCGAAAGGTCCAATGCTGTATTAAGCTAATCGATTAAAGAATGAATCAAATTTTTCAGCACAAAAAAGGCAGAAAAAAACGAAAATAGTCACCGTTTTTAGGGGTTATCACCTCGCCAAAATAAAAATCTGAACATCAGTCATCTATTTAGCGGGTGGAAAAAGTTGAAAATTTTCATTCTAACCTGATCCAAGAGAAACTTCTCCTCCTCTTCTGAAATGAAATTCGGAATGTAGAATGCTCTTGGTGGGGCCTAAAATCATTTTCAAGTAACCGAAATTCAAAAATGAAATATCTGATAATAATTAGTGTGAATCTAGCATAGTTTTCTACCTTTTTTACAACGTAGTTTTCTAACTCAAAACAATCAGCTGCGTCCGCCATTTTAAATGCTTCATACCCAGCCTTTCACGGCATTTTTGAACGAGCGAGTGAGGATCGCAAGCGATTTTTTTTTTTCGACCAACACGGCAAATTTTGAAGAAAAAGTTATACATGATTACAAATAGGACTCCAAACGTGCTAGTAGAAAACTTAAATGGAATGCGACAAGTGCTTTACTCGCGAAAAAGATTTTTACCATGTGCGACAGCCGGGAGTCGAACCCGGGTCAACGGCTTGGGAAGCCGCCATGATAACCGTTACACCACTGTCGCCCACGCGCCTATATAACTTTAAAGTTTGGCTATTTATTTCTTTATTATCTTACAGTTATATAATATCTTATTTTTGGCCCAGTTCAGGACTTGATTTTACACACTGAGGGCTAAAATACTTGAACAAGAGATTTTGCTTTCGGCGAGTATTCGCGAATTCACAAATTAAGTAATCCCCTAAACTCATTAACTAGGAAAACTGAATACCTCATTTTGTCACATCTCGACAAGGGGCTTAACATTAAGATAGACATAAATATTTTGTCTTTGATGAGAGCCAATGAGCGTCTACCTCTGTGCTATTTTCGTTAAATTGTGTTAAAACAGGACAACAAAGTTATGAATACCATTACCATTATCGAAATTGAACTAGCGGAATAAGTGCGCCCCAGCTGAGCAATTTACAGTTGCAAATTAAAATTGTGAACGAGAACACGATTCCAAATGTACACACAAATATTTTAATTCTACCGTGAGAGCAGATGAGTGTCAAAAATTCAAGGTGAGTTAAACATTCTTACATATACGTATCTTCGAAGTAAGAGCTTTGTCAACTTGAAATCTTTATTTGAACGTACATTGGTCTACGATCCATGCAGTTCCACAGCATCGAAGCCATTGATAGCTTTTAGCCGAGTCTGTCAGCTCCAATTTAGCCTTTTTGATTTATTGTTTGGGTAGTTACCGCCTTTTATCTAGTCACTGAGTATATAAGCAGACTATTTTCGATCTTTTCAGCACAGAAAAATCAGAGTCACCGAGATAGCTAAGTTCGTTAACTGATCGATCTCACTCCAAAAATGAGAGCCATATTTTGTGAATTGCTACAATCTGGTGCTGAAATTTTGTAACCCAACTTGACACAAACTACCTAACTTTTACCACATTTGACGATGTTATCACTTCCCCCATCAGACTGTATCTTTCAAAGACAACCTTTCAAAGCATCTTTGGAGAAATTAAACCCTGATGTAACGTGTCTGTCAAGTAATTTGAACATTAGATGGTAAATTTTCAGCTCGATCGTGCGAGGGTCGCATCCGGTAGTTAATTAAAGCTGGAGTATAGAATGGTTTATAGAGAAAATATTGTTATGAAGGTTTTCAATTAACACGCCAGACTTTGACCTCAATCAATTTCCGGGAAAAATGCAATTCTATGCGTGCTGAAATCTACGTTTGAAAATCCCTTTAGGTACACGTGAGTGATTGAAAATACCGACAAAATTGAGGGCGCTAATTTTTATTAAATTTTTCATGTCATCTGCGTTAAGAAGAAGAACAAAACTAGAAAAGGCAACCCAATGGAATTAAAACAACAACAACAACAACAAAAACAAAAACAAAACTAAGAAAACAAAAAAATTTAAAGAGGGTTTCAGCTTTAGGTCTCCGTGTTGCTTTCTGCACAGAAGCTGTTGCCATTAAAGAAATGTCTTTCTCCTCTCGAGCGAATGTACGACTTTGAAATTCGGCTTTACAACTGACTTTTTTGAAAGACTTTTTAGAAAGCCGTATGAATGTTAAGCGCTTGACTTGTGCTAAGATGCATTCAATGAGAACAACAAAACGTACAAACTTGTATATTGGATAGAAATTAATAACAAGGACCATAATGAAAATAATAATAATTAAGATGATGATGATATAAAATAATACTTCCATGTTAATTACTAGTAACATACCTCACAAGAGAATACTTTAAGTGTTAAATTTAAAAAGTGACTACATAGCGAGACAGACAATAAATCTAATTGTTAATTTTTTTTAACAATATCGTGATAGTTCGACTATTTCGTTTGACCGCAGTTTCAGTTTTTGACCGCAGTTACAGTTTTTGACCGCAGTTTCATAAAAAGCGTATTATTTAGCGAAGACAAACAAGAGGAGCAGGTCATATTGTCTTGGCCTTTATTAGGTTAATTCATTATTTTCAGCAACTCAGTTCAATTCTCTCTTTTATTTTATTTTATTTTTTTTAATTCTTTGTTGAGCCTGAGTGCTCCAGGCGAAATAAGATCTGGTGCTCAAATGTTATGATGGTAAAGTCGAGTAACATTGTTTGTTCTAAAAGCAAATATTTTCAATCAATTCAATGTGTTTTGTTCCCAACCCAGAAAACATCTGCTATCGACTATCTATTTAGTTAATAATACTCCGACTTGCCTGCGGCAAATCGACAAACATGAACGCAGGGAAAATGGAAAGACGCCATAAAATCAGAAACAGGGAAGCAAACTGGGCGCAAGATGGGCAAGGAAAAATTACAAAACAGGAACTACCAGTTTTGTTTTTACCTCCTGTTGTCGGCGATGGATCCTCGCGCGTCAAGCACGAGGACAATTCTTCGATTATGGTTACAATGAAGAAGCTGAACAGCCGGCCAGAGAATTATAAACGTGTTCACCAAAAGTTTTCTACGACGGCTTTACACCACCAGGATAAGGGATTGTTCTACAACTGTGAACAGGACAAAAAGCGATCGAGTTGTAACAAGAAAATAACCTTTACGGCGAAAAATACTTCAAAAAGGCCGTTTTTATTGCCTGCATTACCCACAGTAGCGTTTCAAGGGCAGATTCGGAAGAAAGCTACGGCATCTCAAGGGAATCCTACGAAACCCAAAGGTTACAAACTGCTTCCCAAATATCTGCCGCAGATCGACACAAGGACGAAGCAATTAAAAAGCAACGAGACAACTTCTAACGGCCTCATGAACGCTTCTAACGCGAAAACGACTGATAAAAGTTTTCCCCCCTTAGCGAGGAAGGCAATGAAACCTTTGCGAACTGCCATATCTTCTTCGGCAACTTTGCGAGGCCTGATTTCTCTGGATTTAGAGGAACAATTTGTTTTCCGATTTCGTCTTTCAAATTATGACGCTAAAGACATTAATATAACTTCTCTCAATAAGCCCATGTAAAGGATGTTGCGCCAGCTGCAGTAATAGCTCTATTCCAGTATATGATATATCCGGTGAAAATAAAAGTAAGAAAAAAAGATGATGTTTGGGAAGAGTTCGATTTTATTCATATTTACCACCCAGAGAGAATAACTTTTACTCGTTAATACCGAAAAAACAACAGAAATAATTTTTTTGGTGTCGGTGTGTGTTTGCGAATATGTGCCTAGTTTTTTTCTTTTTTTTCCGACATTAAAGGAGTCGAATTAATCCCTCCAACATTTCGCTTATTAATCTACCTTTTGGAACTGATGTCTTCTTGTTTTCTCTGATTTTTTACGGTGAAGTTAAGAAAAAATGTTAGTTTTTACAGCGATGAAATAGCTGACGCTTTATCAAAACTGTTTAGCGATCCCAAAACAGATTGAAGATGTCCACATGTGATCAATTCTTGGACTTTTTTTCTTAACGTCAAATAAGGATAAACTACCATACTTTTTTGGTCAAGCTCACCATTGCCAACAGACTGAGTTCTTTTTAACCGGTCGGTGTTGAGCATCGGAGCAGGAAATCCGAGGGTCTGTAGCTCGATTCATCCTTAAGAGGGTGTCGGATATTTCCGCTTTTCCAAGCTCGTAGTTGCTTGTGACAATACGGATAGTGTACCAATTTAGTTATGAGCGGTGTTGCTCGAAAACTTAGTTAAAATTTAAAGAGGGTCATTCTACAAAAATGCCTCCTCCTTCTCTTATCCCTGCCAATCTAAATGGCTTAATTAGCGATCGACACACGCACACCCCGCGAGAAGTCGCGCGAGTAGAAATCTCCCTCGAGTGCTGTTGTTTAGTATCGTCACGTGGCTCACTCTCTCCCCTACGGCAAGGAAGGAGACCACGCGAGTAACGGAGCTTCACGCATAAACTCGCCCCTTGACGACGAAGTTGACAACCCCCGACTTGGCAACGAATCATCACCATAGAAAGAAAAGCAAAATATAGATAGATAAAACCTCCATTGCGTGGCTCTCTGAAAAATTTATCATTGATTTTTATTCACATTGTCTCAGTAAGAACAGATAGGACGTTTCTTTTCTGGTTTTGAAAATCCCGTTGGAAAATTTCAAACTTGCAGCAAACAGCAGACGCACACGTTTCACACACGCGTGCTCACTGCCTTGTCAAACGAAAATCAATTAACTCAGCTTTAAGAAATTTAATTGATTTTGATTTAATTTTAGATTAATTTACACCATGCATCAACTTTTCCTTCCGACAAAAGGATTTGACAATATATCTTTTGTTGTGTTTGTACCAGCTTTTTGAGTGCCAGTGCAAACAGGATGTGTTAGCAAAAATTTACATGTTACAAACAATCAGCGCAAAGTGAACACTACCGGCACCTGCTGAAAATTTGCTTGAATTAAGTAAAATGGCCACCTAAAGACGTTCTTAAGGAAGTAACAATAAAATATAGCGCTGTATCCATTTTTCCCTTCTTTTGGTTTTTTTTATGTATATTTAGTTTGGTACAAGTTGAGTCCCGTTATCTGGAAGGAGAAGACATTGGAGTCGTTGGTGTAGAGTTTTTCCCTTGTACATCCCAACCTGCATTAGGTAGATAGACGTGAATTGAAAGCTTTCGTCCGCTTTCATCTTCTTTTAGTTGCTCTTTTTCCTCTGGGCTCAGACTTCGTCCTTTATGTACAACATGTCGAGCCCAAGGTATTGGTAACATTGGTGTTCTCCGATCCGGTACATTTGTCCTCGGGTTGGTTCTGAACCGCGCTCGAAACTTCTGCAAAAGTTGTAAACCTTCCTCGTCCGAATTACAAAATATAGAATCTCTTGACTTCAGTTCAATGCGCCACTCCCTTTCCAACAAGTTGAGCCCTTCGGGATTGATTTGAAAGCGTACGGGCTTTGATTTTCCACCGAAAAGCAAAAATATTTCTTCTTGTTCACTGCGTGTTTTCGCGGTATTCGCGTTGTTTGACGCGAGGACTCTTTGGAAATAACTTTTATTAAGACTAGGTTCACGACCGTTCATGGAAATCGTTGCAAGATCTTCGTATTGCCCTACCTCGTTTCTTCGGCATTTCATCCTCTTTAGACACGAATAAAGCTTATTCAAAGAGACAGAGTGTGAAGTTGTTTGGTTGATTCCGTTGCTAACCAGTTGTTCGGACTTAAAACTCTCAGCGGCTTTAGCTGTTTCATCTCCTGAGGAAGAAACACTACCTCGTTTCGGTAGATTTTGTTGAGATTCAGCCAAACTCATTCGATGTCCCGTACACTGCATTCCAGCCAAAGGATGCGGCTCAAAAGTTTCGAAACCAGAGCCAGTTAATCGATTTTGAATTGAACGGTGCAAATCATTTAAATGACCTCTATTCATATCTGTCTTTTCAAATGCAACGGGCTTTTGTAGATATTCCTGTGTCCTAACACTCACATCTCCTGACTCCAGGGGAGGTTTTATGTTTTCTGGGTTACTGACCAAAGAAGGGTTATCAGATTTTCCAAATGAGCGTCCCTGGATGGTACCGTCCAAACCAGTATTCAAATCGTTGTATTCTGTAGTAGAATCTTCTTCACGACGCACCGATGGTTTCGCATAATTACGTAGATACGGAGCAACTTTAAGCTGACCTCTGGGAAATATGTCCTCACCTCTGAAAAAAGCAAAACTCATTGTGTGTACGAGATATTGTCTTAAAAGCTTTCTATTACCATGTCTTAACCAGCTTCATTGTAACCAAACAAGAAGCCTTGTGAGCTAGAAGCGTAATTTTCCACTGTGTTCAGTTATGATCGCGTACTTTTTTTGTAATTAAGCCATATGCAAACACTGTACTTAAACAATCAGTGCCCACAAAATTGTTTGTTTTAATCCCATATTTCCACATGGCGACGCAAAGAACAATTAACGTTGTGGCTACACTTGTCATCACAAAAGATTGAAATCAAATAAAGTGACTTATTTCATTTACATGACAATTTGCCAAGGATTTCAGTGACGGCTCTTGAATGGTTGCACGAAGAGCCAAAAATCTTTCAAACACTGAATGAACAGAATCAAGCTCAACTTGAAACAAAGACCTTGATATTAACTGAATCATATATCTCGAGGTTCTATCGTCAATTTTTAATTAACCCCTTCAACTGTCTATTGTCATAGAAAAATACTCTTAAAATGTCTATTGATATTTTTGTTTTCCAATCAAACATAGTGGCACATAAAACGGATGTTATAAGAAAAATTGATCCAAAGAGCTAATGTCAGACAAACCTTTGAAGTGCCAGGAAGTCACGACAGAAACTAACCATAATATCATTATAATTGGTTCTAGCCCGGAACATTCAAAAGAGTGGGCATGAATGCTCCGAGCACACGACACGGCGTGTCGCAAGTTACTCTTCTCGTCCTGTCGCAAGATCCTTAAAATGCGACCTTAAGCGACCAGTTAAATGGTGACGTCTTCGAACCATCCTCTCTGGCCGTTGGGTAGCTTGCGCAGTAAAGAACCTAAGTGAAAAGTAAGTAAAACTCATACCGGTGACTCCTCGCTCGCGTGTATCAGTCTAAGAAAGTAATTTTGTATTATCAACTGAGTCGATAACGCACATTGCTCACCGTAAAGAATTTCAACGTTAACGTCTCGGGCATTATCCCTTCGTCAGAAGGACTAATCTTCGAAACGTCAGCTTCAAAACTCTTTACGGTGGCCAATTTACGTGATCAACGAGGTTGATAATTCCAAATTGCCTTGTTACACTCTCCCACTGACGCAGCACTAGTTTCCTTAGAGACTTACCCCCGTTGTGTATCTAGGTCACGCGCGCCCGTTCAAATCAAGCGCCTGATACACTGACAACACTGATTGGTCAAACGTGTCACCCAAGCACCGTTCCCCTGAATGGCGTAAGGTTTTTTCTTGACATTGTTTGACAGGTATAGAATAAGTGCTCGGCAGTCAGCAGAATTTCTACTCTCTTCGTATTGTTTAATAATTTGCATAACTTACAAACCAAGAATCTCCCGGTAATATCCTTGAGACAAATCCTTCTTCTTTTTTCATAATTTATTGCTTATCCGCATTATAACGTCTGCTTTTAATTTAAGTTTCTACCTACAGTAAAAGAATCTCTTTTCGATGCGGGTTTCATTGTCAACAATTTTATGTTCAAATGTAAATATGGCTTTCATGCACAACGAATAAATAAAGGAAATGCTTAACTACATTTAATCCTTCCTTTGTGCAGTCGACTCTTGGTAACCCGTACCCTTAATACACGTTAACTGAAAAATCACTGTTTTGCAGGTCACTTTCTTTACAACTTTGCCCTCAATGTCTCGACTCTCTAAGTTAGAGTGCGCTACAGTATTCGATTCAAGTCAGCTGTCTCGTTTTGTTAGCTTATTTTCCTTACGTTTTTAAACGTGTCTTTGTAATGAACCTGATTAAAAACACTTTTAATCGGTTTTATACCGATCATGTTACGAAAACCTTGTCTTCTCTAATTTGGTAGACATTTCAATCACTTCTGCCCCTCTTTCTGTACCTTTCAAACGTGTCTTTGTAATGAAACTGATTAAAAACACTTTTCATCAGTTTTATACCGATCATGTGACGAAAACCTTGTCTTCCTCACTAATTTGGTAGGCATTTCAATCACGTCTGCCCCTCTTTCTGTACCTCGAACCTTTAATGATCCTCTTTAACGGTTCCCGTTACCAAGACTCAACTGCACTAAAACATTTCTTTTTTTTTTTTGTTCCCTTTCATTCGATTCCCTCGGGTTCGTTTTAGCCTGATCGGTCCGGTTCGGGGCCATAAAACCCCTCGTAAGCAGAACATTCCTTTACTGTCACTGTTCCTCTTTCTGTTGTCACATCTGTGATAATCATGCTGTTTGCTAAAAATTCAAATCGCGAGTACCGCGGTATCACCGGGGTGTTTTTCATTTCCGTGGGGGCTGCTGGGGGCGGAACTTCGTGTCGCGATGACGAAGGGGGGCTGGTGGATACCGTGGGGACATCAGCGGTGCTCGGTTTGGGTTGATTGTCTCTCTCGATCACCGGAGGTTTTTCAGGTAGTGGAGTTTCGAGTACGTCTGTCTTTGAGCTGCTACTACAACCCGCGTTGCAAGGAGTGGTGTCTAATTCACTCACAACGGAGGTGGACGGTGCAATTTCTTTCAAGGGAGTTTCTTCGATATTCGAATTCGACTCAGCAGTTTTGTCTTCACTCGCTTTATCAGGAAATTTTTCTTCGGATTCCGTAATTTCGACCTCTGCAGTTTTTTCACCTACTTCGGTTTCAGCGAGAGGGACTGTGGTTTCAACCTCAAGAGACGGAACAGCTTCGCCAGTACTTTCGTTTACCTTCGGTAAGTTTCGTTTTTTCCGACGCCGTCGTCGCTTCGCGGGCGGCGGATCAACCTCGCGAGACGATTCATCAATTTCGCTATCACTTTCATGATCATTGACGCTGGTGACGTTTTCAACATCCACAGAAGAACTGTCTGGCTCTTCCGGCTGGAAAATTCAAGAAACGAAAACTTGTCAATATCATTTGCATTCGTGACAAAAAATAAACATTTCGGTTTCGAACGCACACGCAGACGAATAGTAAGCATCGAAAAAATTTCATCAAGAATTCAGAAAAAATTCAGGAATTGTCGGCCCTAGAGCTGCTAACAAAATTATCCTAAAAATATGATACTGGATCTTACCACAAAGAAAATCGACAACACTGCCTATACATACGAAATAAACTCCAATACAAAATTTTTTTGACGATCACTTGTAAATCTGAATTTTAAAAATATTTGGTCCGTCAGCTTACTTTGGATCGGTCTTGGACACGTTTGCCGACCTCTTTCGATAGTATTGAATGTCCAAAACGTTTTAGCACAGACATTGATTTGATGGAAATTTATTAATTGCAAAAACATGGACAGTATTAAATGTCAAATGAAACAAAATGAAACTAAAAATGGCAATGTTTTCATTTTCAAACACTCAAAGCTTTTCAGATCGAAAGATGAGGATTTCAGAGATGCTATTTTTTTAACAAACCTATCTTTTCATCGCTATAAGATGTTTTTAATTAAAATAGAAAAAAAAGCTATCGAAATCCAAGGGTGGTTTTCCTACGGTTGTCCGTTTCATCACAATCCTTTAATTGCTACTCCAATACTACGGAAATAAAAATATTCGCCTCAGACATAAGGTAAGATAAAGACAGAGTTTCGATACTTACGTTTTCCTCAGACACAAGCATTTTCTTTTTCTTGCCTTTAAACTTTCCCTTTCTAATAAAACAACAAAAACAGGAACATTTATGACATAAAAGCGATCATTCAGAGTGTGACTCAGTGCTAAAAATGAAATCTACACTCGAGTTGATTTTAGTCTTACTTGGTTACAAATTTCACAAACATTGCCTTTCTTCCGTACTAAAACAATCCAATCCGAAGTTCCTGCAATCCTCTGACGCCACCAGAGTAAACATTTTAAGCAAGCTCTTGGTTACAGAAGCATTTGGGTTTCCTCTAAAATTATAATTTGCACACATGAATGCCTCGAAGCGAGCAAGAATCAAGCGAGTCTGAACGCGTATAATATTTGTCAACACTCGATCGTTATTTTACCTCGCTGTTAATCGTTGTCGAAAAGCCCTCAGTAATCGTGGATCTAAGACATTTTCCTCTGGTTCCCATGTGTTGTACCTAATTGAATTTCAAAGGCAAAACCGTCAACAGCTCAACTAACGCGAAAGAATATTAAGGAATATTAAATTTATGCACGTGAACGACACGATGCTTACTTCTGTGAATATCCTTTCCATTTGATAAAGTACTCGACTTTTCCCTACAAGACAACGATTTGTTAATGGCAAGATTTGACCAAGAAATCGACAGCAATACCAAGAATATTGTCTCTTCGAAATACCTCACGAACTCTTCGCTTCAGGATCGTTTCGGCCGCGTATATACCGTTGTTTTTACCAGGCCGATTCATGTCGCAGTATCCGCTGGGAAGTGATGTTTGTGTTTAAATCGTATAACTTAACTTGCGCATCCCATAATAATCCACGAAAGTGGTGACGTCACTAGCAGCGCACAAGCTTTTGTTACGACGACGATTTTCATAATTTGTCTCATTTTCATTTAAAAAAACCCTATTTTTTCGCCTCCAAATTATTTTCGCGGCCCTTTTAGGGAGCTATTTTTAAATAGCACCATTAACGTGCTTACCGACAACAGTCTTTGAGTGTCATTTTGCGGCAGACGGTCGGTGGATCTGCTTTAACATCTATAAGTGAGGAAATTAAGATTCTTCGATTCGTACACTGTAACTGACATATCAGTTGAAAGAAAATGGCTCAGCTCTAAGTAACATAAAAATTTAATAGGAAGTGAGTTATTTTACTGTACAATGCCAACTTTAAAGAGTATATTAACTCCCCATTTTCAAAATTATTTTCTTCACTTGAGAAAGATATTTCGATCGCTGTTTACTCTCATCTAATTCTTAAGTCAAAAAAAATTTGCATTCCCCAATATGACCGTCAAAAGGAAGAAAAAATGTGGAAGACAGACAGTAAGGCAATTAATCGATAAAGCAATGGGCCGTGAAATAAATGGTGGTAGGATTTGAAAACTCACGAGCAGAGAGAAAATAGGGAGACTAATATTTTCATGATGCTTTGTTCAAAGCTGGTATGTCCTACTTTCTCGGAAAAGTGTTTAACACGCTTCTCTTTAAGAATTGCAAGGGTTTCACCTCTCAGCGGCAAAGTAGACGCGAATTTAGCATAAAGGCAAGACGAACTGATGTAAGTGGCGACTATTTATTAAAATTTTCGAAAGTTTCTTTTTTAATCTTACATCACAACAGGTTGACTTAGAAATTTAAGCCCAATTTGTTGGATTTTTGGTTTATTTCTCGCTAATATCAGTGCAGTGAAGGAAAATAAATTCACTACAGCTAAAGTGGTTACACAGATAAGATAGCACGTGTTTATCAGCATCTAAACAATGGAAACGGCATCAAGTGTCTGTAATTTAGTGTTCTTCTGGATATTTTTACACGCCCTCAGCATCAGCCCCCCCTTCCCTCTTGCCCCTTGCACCGCGGTCATATTTTGGAAAAGGAACTACTTCATTTTACTTTATTTAAAGGCTTTTAGCCAAGCAAAAAATCTATTTCATTAAAATGACTAAATTACATTTGATCAAATAACTTCAGTTTTATTAGACCGACCAACATTAAAATTGGATTCATGTAACAAAAATAAAGAACATACTTAGATTAATGTCCCTGACACAAAACGGTCAAACGTCTGCGCATGTGCTGACTGATTAAAACGCTTATGTGGTGGTACGACACCTTACTTTTAGGAAATCTCGTTCTTAAAGGTCACACTATCCCCTAATCCCACGCGAGCAGGAAACGTTTGCCGTATGCAAGACCTCAGAGAACGAGATTGGCTTTGGGGCTTTCAGAACTTTGTCATCTAACAAGAGTTATATAGAGCCACACAAGCTGATAAGTCAAAGTGTTTTAAAAGCCCATAACAACTAAGGCTAAACAATACGCCCACAATGCGACGATGTTTGTGTTAAAAAATCTCTAGTTTTTCTCACTTTGCTTTCGTTTCCATTTGCAGATTTCTATGAAAGTTTTACTTTTCTCTGCAAATTTTCGTTTCCCTCTGAGATTTTTGCAGTATGGGTGCGTGGCTGGCCAAAATTTACCCATCTGCGTATGCGTGACGTTTGACTGCGCTGATTCTGAACTCTGTTGGATCAATCTCGATCCCCAGTTAGTTCAGCCTCGTGTCATCGGTTTGGTCGCCAACGGTAGCATGTTTGACAACCACGAAGTGACTCAAGGCTCCAAAATGTGTTGTCGTGGTCTCGGTGATGCATGACTCTCTGCCGGCGTTGGGTTTGACCGTGGATGAAGAGAAACATCCAGAAAAAAACTTCATCTTTATTTTCCTCCTGAATCGTCTGTTTAACAGAGCGTAAGTAAACGGGTTGACGGCGGAGTTGAACATGACGGTTATGTAAGAAATTGGCAAATAGTCGGTGTTATAGTCGATGGATGCATAGTTAGTGTATGACACAATGTAAATGGCACCAGATGCGCACCAACATGTGCTAAATAGAGCACTGACAGTAACCACCATCGAAGTGACCCGCTTTCTCACCCTCATCACAATCTGTCAATAAAGCATAGATTTGGGTTTCATTGATAACATGGATCAATGCACATGTCAAACTCATATCGCCCTCCACTTTGTGTCGATCCAAACAAGAGAAGAAAGGAAAAGGCAAGAAGAAAGCGGATAATTCAGGCTGAGATCTGCTTCATTTCTGGAAGCTATACATGTCATAATGCTAAATACCCTTAGAGTCTCGCTCCTATCATTTTGGCTGACAACAGAAGCAAAGTTTTTCAGACTGCAATTGTTGCAATTACATAACCTACTTACATTTGCCTCGGTCCCATCATTTGGCTTTATTGTTCAGTTGGGAAATACACCAAACTAACATCTGGAAGGCACGCGGGTTCGAATTCCGTCGAAGCCTGAATTTTTTCTTGCAATTAATTGCTCTAATTGCAGCTATCTGCGAAGATCGTTTCTCTACTTGTATATCATCCGCAGGTCAATATATCATTTATTTTACTGTTACCATTTGCTGCTGGGTAAGCTGATCTTTTTCATTGCCCTTGATCCATAGGTTATACACAACTCTAGAGTACAGAGAAGCCATCAACGCAGTGAAAAGAGCCGTCAAAAGAAACCACAACCAGGTCATGGCTTTTGCCATCCACTCTCTTGGGAAATGCTCTGCGCATTCGTTTGCAGTCTCATTAAGGCGGACTGCCAGGAACGATGGGATGTTGAAAAAGGTCGAGAAAATCCAAGAACTGGCAATGATCACCTGTTTGCAAATATGTACACCATAGTCACCTCGTGAAGTTGTATCATAATATCTTCTCTACCATTAATTTCGTTACCTGAGCCTTTTCAGCGAGTGTCGCATTTCGAATGATAGCGTTTAGCTCAAAAGAAAAGCCTTTATCATTGGCACGATTCGAAATGCAAAACAGTAGAATTTTATGTATACTTTGTTCTCTATTATACCCTCTACCACAATATTGAACCTCAAACTGCTCTCATAGAGCCTGGGTAAATTGCAGTCAAAAACAAAATACTCCAGAGTGTCTCATATATTAACCTATATCCTTGAAGTCGTATGTTAATGTTTGAGGGCTCCAAAAGCTTATGTAACAACACAGAAGACTTCATACAATGTGTATAGTGTCCATTGCGTGGGAAGTGGTTCCCTATTCTCTATAAGAAATAGCTTGTCTTAAAAACGCACGACATTATACTGCAAATTACAGCAAGTTTATCAAGTTTTTCAGCAATGCTAAATTGATGTCATTTTCAGTATCACAACAGAACAAATAATCGTGTTTCTCATCGATAAACGAGAAAATTCAACAAAAGGTCATAAGTTGCTTGACCGATCTTCGTAGATAAGGCAAACACTAGAAATTTAATCTTCCTGAAATCCACGAAAGACAAAAAAAGGCCTGGTATAGTCTGCTAAAAAGGATGTCTAACACTTCCATCCTTAATTATCTTAAATTTCGAAACATGTAATCCCATACCTTCAATTTAAACGTGTTCAGTGCTCCTCTGTTGCTGAAGGGATACAACACAGCGTTGTGTCGTTCAACGGCGATGGCGACCAGTGTGACAACCGAGGAAGCAGCTCCGAACCATGACAAATTTCCTCCTGTCACAAGTTTGCATAGAACTAAGCCAACTATCCCATCCGGATGCACACCAGCAAACTTGACAAAGAACACTGGTGCCATAAAAATCGCGTACATCATGTCCGCTACTGCTAGGTTAACGATTAAGTAATTTAGATGGGTCCTGTGGGATTGATATAGCCATAATATTAGAAAAGGAACATTAGGCCAGAACAGAGAAGACAACTCTGTGCAACCATGACATGACTATACCTCATTTCTCGATTTTTCCTTATAATCCAGCAGACAAGAGAATTTCCCATAATATTAACGACGATCAGTACTAGGAGTGCAGACCAAAGCACAATACTCCCTGCTTCGACCATAGCTTAGCGTCAAGTTCAAATGTGCAAAGATCTGTGCAAAAGTATAAGGAAGAGGTGTCAAAACTGATTTCAAGTATAAAGTGATAAAAAAAAACAGCTTAAAAAGTATGGTGCATGAAGTAGGAGGAAAATGGGGAAGGATTAATAATGCTGGATCAAAGATGAAAGATGAGCAATGGAGGAACGATTATCATGAAGTATGATCGATCGATGACGGATGGAGAATGGAGGAAGAAGAAAGACGGAGGAAAGATAAACAGTGCAGGATCATTATGAGATGAAAGATGGATGGAAGATGAAGTATGAAGCAGGAATAAAAATTAGGAAGGATAAGCGAAGCAGGATAAGGAAGAAGGATGATCGAAGGAGGAATGATTGAATTCACATCTGCTAAGATCTTAGACTCATTTACATACCTGTTACAGTTGTCATACAATCGTACAAAATTCACAAAACTGAAACGAGTTCGGGATCAAAGGTAACGAAATTTTACGCGAAAGGTGACCAATTTTGAAAATTTTCGATCGGTGTTGTACGAGAAGAAAACGGAACCTGAATTCGCATCTACTGTAATCTTTGACTCACATACAATACAGTTTCGTAAACTGAAACCGTACAAGTGTGCAAAACTGAACCGAAATTTAAATGTTTCAAGTCGGAGAAAACTTCAAGAATAATCTTCGGAAAGGTTTGATTGTAACTATATATAAAATAGCTTGTAAATTCGAAAAGGGTTTATTCTATGAGATGATTTAAACCCCTCCCATATTTCTTAGAACATGAATACTCAGACAACTCAATTCTAAGTGTCACTTTTCAAGTGTGTTTATCAATTCGACTTTTCTGGCAATGGTAAAGCAGCAGAAAATTAAGTTACGTAACCAACAATAAAGAATGAAACTTTCTTTACCTGAGGCTAATGATACATTAATCCAGAAATCTTTCAGCGTCATAGAGAAAATATCAAAGCAGGTACTTACTTAGAAGGGCAATTTGCCACTGAATGTGTAATGAACATTGAGTTAAGGGGCTTTTTTTTCTAGTGCTTCACACAGTATTCATTGCAGGTGTTCCATCCAAATATAGGGGGAGTTAACAGTAATAACAATATCAATACTAAGTTACTCTATTGTGATATAATAGTCAATTTCAATCAAACATATGCATGAAACGTACGATTTCCGAAATCCATTAAATCCCTTTAAATAACTTTGGAAAATGAATGCATACATTACATCAAAACAACAGCTTACACTGAATAGATCGGTGGTAAGCTTCCTTTTATTGGAGTGATTTCTTAGTCTTAATTAACCTCGGCTAACTTAGATAAATGAAACTTGGCCTCTCATTTTTATTCTACTTTAAAAATTTCCGTACATCTTTCTGTGCCAAAGGAATATCGTTCAATTGGTACCAAGTACATTGTGATGTTCATTTAAATAAACAAGGGCTAGAGTAACTGACTTTTTTTACTTATTTTATTCCGACGGAGTGTTGAGTAACTGCGGAAATAAGCATCAAGAAACACATGTAGCATCAGTTCAAAGTGCATTTTTACGCTAAACAGTCTCTTCATATTCTGAAAAACAATGGATTTCTCGGCGCTATGCATCTCGTGTGCTATCTATCAAAACATATACAGAGTGAGCAGCTTGTGAAATGCAAGTTACAATCATCACATGCAGGGAGACAAGCCCTCAGCCTTGGTGGCTGCAGTAACAATATTTTCTAAGATGCGGATATGAAGCCTTGATGCAGTTGGGTTGGGAACCATAGATATTAATACGGCTGATGTGCCCGTTCACGATAAATTTCCCCTCAATAATTTTAACCGATACCTCAAATTCTCCATTGCCCGGCTTTGTTCGAAATCTAAGTTGGTAGGTGCACTCACTGGGTGTCGACGTAGATTCAAAATTTGCTTTACCAAATCCTAAACCCATCCCGTTCTCAATGCCATTAAAAGTTTGTACTTTAATGCTGGACATTTCCTGCCATGCACTTATTATGTCATTCACTGATAGTTTCTCGCAAAGATCACCAACTTCCACAAGCAAATTATTTATGTAGTCAGCGGCGCGCATTGCACTTATGCGAACGTGCGCATGACTCGTATTTATGGGCAACCACCGGACACAAGGGCAAAAGTACTCGGGAATCAAAGCATCTTGGCATGTTCGATTTCGAGGGATCGCTGAAAAGAGGCTTGTCCCTCGGGTAAGCTCAGAATTTGATGGGTCGGCAGGGTATTTTAACACGTGCATAAAGGTTGCGTGTAGATCTAAAGGTGAAGTAATAACTTTTGTATTGAGCTTGAGATTCTGCACAAGTTCTGGATACTTTAAACGGAATTTAGAAGGAAGTGTAATGGATAGTAGTGGCAAACGCTCCTCCAGTTTCCCCTGAATTGTGGATCGGAACTCCCCCGTTCTCGCCCCGTGGTCTCCCATGACAACAAAAATCGTGTTATTCAAAAATCCAGATTCACGTATGGCCTGGAAAAATGTAACAAAGTCTTTAGCGGCTGATCCAAGTGGCATGATCGATTCATGATGGCACAAACTGCTCACGAAGGTGAATCCAAACTTAAGCGTCTGGGGATAAGCTCTGAACAGGCTTTTCAGATATTCAAGCTGAATAACGTGCTGCGGTTGTGCATTGATACAGAATGGATGAAGTCCACTGTCAGAGTTGTGCGGTACCGCTGACCAAAAGGGACGCGCGTAGTGATCTGCGGGTTGTTTGTTGAAACCTTTGAGTCTCATATTGAAAGTTGCTGAAAGGCAGAATGTAATATATTGGAATATATTGATAAGAGGAAAGGTTACTTCTATGTTACACAAAGTGTCGAGCGCTGGAAAATGCAATGTACTTCATGACTGTGTGGGAGGGCCGGACAAGCCCGATTAATGTAGATTGGATTTTGTTCGCTCCGGTAGTTCGAGAGTGATTTTTAAGACTTTAAGGTAACTTGATCAAATCCCTCTTAAATCCTCTGTTTACCTCAACAGGAACCAGGAACACTTTTGACTTTTCAAGGAAATCGATTAATCCTTGGTTATTCATTCCAGGCAGACATTTTTGAATCACTCTACCAATCGCCTTAATTTATAAATGGATCGGAAGTGAGCAATATCTTCACGCCGCAACCTTTTCATGTGAAAAACAAAATCCAATCACAAAAAATTGTGAAAAGATACAAATATGCCTTACCAATTGATGGTGCATCTTCGCTAAACATCGTAGCATATCCATGCTCCTTAAAGGTGTTGAAAATAAATGGCCACCCGTCTAAAGTCTTGGCGCCGTCAAATCCAATCCGTGCTTCATGCAATTTACAGTTCTCCTCCACAGTCTTGCCAGTAAATAGCGCTGTGATTTGGGGTGTGGTCGCCTCTCCCACAAGAGAAAATCCCTCAAATATAAAGGACTGGAGCTCATCACGAAGAAACTTGAACGAATCTGGTAAGAGACGTTGGAAAGTTGCCTGTGATGTCTGATCTAATGCTAGGATTATGACATTGAAAGGTAAACCAGTTTCCTGTAGAGCATTTCGTTGCAAGACCTCTCGTTTCGGGACTACTTGTGCATGAAAATCCTTTTGAATCATTCCATTGGAGAACTCGGCATTGATTTGTAGAAAGTCGTGTTCTAGTTTCAAAGTTGGGCCTTTGTACTTTAAAAGAGTCGGTTCTCCCAAAGTGAACCCCGAATCAGAGGCGTTTTTTCTGTGGATAGTTTGAACTGAAATACTCCTCAAAGGTGCTCCTGTAAATAAAAAATGTCAGCAACGTTATTTTTAAGAAATAGTCCGCATTTCGATCGAATCTTGGTTAAGTAATCTTAGAGTAATCACAGTAACTATGAAATCAGGAAAAGGAAAAGCATCATGTGCCAAATAAGGCAATAAATAAGGCTATTAATTTAACTGACTTTACTTTTAATCTGATTTGTCTACTTGAAAGGTTTGTGGCACAGTTAAAGACCAGTCGATAAATAGAATGAGACGATTCTTGCGTTACCTTGGTTACATTCGATTCTTATTTGAAATTGAAAGTGTGGTTTTCGAGTCTCCTTCTCCTCCCCTTCCCAATGCAATGTAACAACTCGACATTACTTAAGCTTATATTCATGTCATATCCAACTCTGAAAGAGAAAATGGAGTGCTGAGACCCAATTTGAAGGACTAAGGTCATAATGGGATCTTTGGGCGAATTCTTTCACACAATTTGTCTGATCGAGATTACAGCTATTACATTTTTAGGTTACGATGATCAGGAAAAAACCAAAAACTTCCGATCATTATCATTACCTCTATCGTGACTGTTGACAACCTTCAAATACCCATCCAGGTATCTAGTAAACAACGTTGCTTTAAGCTCACAAGTCATGGGCGCCATTGTAATGAAATAAGACATAGCATTCTTGTCAAAAGGGTTAATATCTGGAATTCTGCAGCCTTGTTCCTCTGTTGAATTGAACGACTGCATCTCAGAGTGACCCAGACCGCACGACAATCCACTCGTAGAGAATTCTGCATATTACGAGAAATAATCCTTTAAATGCTATCATAAGGCATTTCCCTCGCAGGATGCGAAGGAAAAGAAAAGCGGGTCGAATCACTATTTCTTGATGAGCTATAAGTCCTACAAAGACTAAACAGCGATCAAAAAGTGTTTTTTGCGTCAGACCATGATTTTTATATGACTCGTAATTTTTTTTAGCCTTCATGGAACAGCTGTTTGGTCCTGTTGCATCGTTTCGTAAACTGATGGAATTTTGAGAAGATACGAAGATATGAAAGAAAAACCCATCAGCATGTGTTATACACTTCCGTTGTATGTCACAGAAGTGAAACTGCGACTGGTTATTTTTTCCTGTCAATTTGGGTTGCGCACCGTATTTTGACGCAGTTGCAGATGTCACTTGTAACTGAGTTATTGGCATTTTTGTGGCAGTTGCATGGCAACTTAACGATATTTTTAGCGTTGTGAACAAACACAATTATAGTTACATTTTCATTTGTCGCGAACGAGAGACATGGATATATGCTAGCTCCTTAGCGATAGATAACCCAGGCTATGAATGATCATTTGTACTCAAGCTATGCTATTCACCACACTCACCAAGCTTGTTCATAAATGCAGCTTTCACATACAAAGTGGAGTTCCCATCAGAAGAAATGATAATCTTGGAGGTCGTTGGGAAAGAGTAAATAGCTGTGATGTTGTTTAGTTTTGAGATTGCTTGACACTGTTCTCCTACGAGCCTGCAAGATTTCACAGCTTCGAATTCGGATTGGAATACTTGAACATCAACCTCTGTGTTTTTCACCTCAGCTGTTGTATTGTGCAACTGATGGTAAGACAGACAAATGAAACAAATAATGTGTTAAAATTCATTGGAGTACCTCTCTATTTCATGGAATTAGACCTGCTGGAAATAGTGTGAGAAGCTGCCAAACGAATTTAATCGGGCTGAACCTTTACCTTCCTCATGCAGTGGCTGTATATGCTTTAGTTATCAAGTTATAGCTATTCATTCCTATCATGCAGATATTCTCCAGAATTAGCGTATCGATCATCAGCTCTTACGACTTGCGTTCCCAGACAGAAACTGATGAACGAGCAAGGATTCTTGTCTAGTTTGGTCTTGCATAGGAAGTTCAGGACAAGACCACAACGTTTATTTCATCATCCGGCTATTTGTTTCCATCGACATCTCGAAGGTTGTTTTGTTTTCTTTTGGGAGTCAAATAATTCTGGAACCAAGCCAGTCTTTGTTGTTTGCAGTGGGTGACCATTCCTGTCCCTTCCATCATAGAGTCCTCAGCAGTAAAATGACTTACCTCAACATAATCCTTCAGCGTGAATTTAGACAAACCGGCGTGCGCATGATCATGTTCTGCCTGTATTGTCGGGTCATTTGCCTTTAATATACGAGAAAACTTAACTTTAGCGGTGATAACTTTAATTATCTAGCAACTCAACGGTCCTTAGAGAACAACATCAAGAATCAGGTCAGCACGAGTATTAAAGAGCATGCATCATGAGAGTCACGGATGCCCTTTGCTTTTGATATGAACTCCAAATGATAGCTCCATGCTCACCTCGCTCACCTTTGGTTTCACTTCCGGTTGGCCCAATAACTTATTGGCTTTCGTGGAATAGTCCTTCTTCTTTTTACCAACCCGGGAGCCATTTCGCTTCATCGATACTACCATTTTATGCACTGATTTAAAATATTTCATTGTTTGTGACTTTGATATTTTGTGATGAATCGCTTTTTGTCTTTGTCTTTGTCTCTTTCGTTTTCTCAGTCTTTTCCGTCTCCTAACGATAAAATAACGCGCATCTTTAGACGCCTCTTTGAAGAATTGCCGAGTGTTCATCAGAATCGTGTTATCTAAGCTCTTTGTTTTTGTTAGAAAAGCAACGTGCTGTTTTTTGTTATTTTCGAACTCCTCGTCTTGCCGATATATATCTTTCCATGCGCATAGAAGGTTGATGAACGTCAACATCGCCACAGGGATCAAAATAATCGAGCTTCGCTTCTGTAGATGGGCCAGGCATCGCGAGAAACACTTCATGGTATATTTGACAATTTGCTGACCCTAAAATTGAAATGTAAATAAATAAAAAAATCGGTAAATTAACTGCCATAAAAAATATGCTCTTTTTTCGCCTATGTCCTCCCGAAAATAGTTAAATGAATGAGTAAATTCAATAAATAGATAACTATTTATTAGATAAATAGATTAAAAATTGATAAAAACATGTATGCTTCCGAAGGTCTATGAATGTTCTTCATCACAGGTTTCTTCGTATCTTCGTATGTCATGACTAATAAAGAGAATTAAATCTAAAGAAAGTGATAAGAGAGACTGTGACCGTTTACTACAATGTATGAGACAGAACTACTCTTCTTGTGTGGTCTTTTAAAGGTTTTTTTTATATATTACAGCGGAATCCTAATTCAAAATCTATGCAGTACAACTGATCACCTGTTTATGCGAAGGACCTGCCAAAGAGTTTGAAGAAATTGAAGCTCATCACCTGAACCAGGAAGAATGATTCGCGACACCGAGATAACAGCAAATCAATTTACTCAGGGAGTCGAAAGATGACACAAAATAATTGGTTAGTTTACGCTACTGAGATATATTTCGTCGGTAATGAGTACAACAAAGCAAAAACTAGCCACGTTATGTTTGTAATTATGCAGTGATACCGTTGGATATGATTATAAAGCTGTGTAAACAGATATTTCAGACTCGCGCGTTATAATCCTCGAAGTCAAAGGAATAGGTGCAGATTGATTTTGAATTCATCATCGCAGAGATTTCAAAAACTGATTTGGGTAGCATCAAAAAGTCTTAAAAAATAGATTTACTTTCTACGCTTCAGTCATGCTCGTACTTGCCTGAAAAACCCACGAAAAAGAAAGCAAAAATGCAACCAATCAGAACCTGAGGTGTGACGTCATTAATATTGAATATGTTTCGTTGCGAGTCACCTTTTTTCTCAAATGTTTTTCCTTTGCCATCATCTTTTACGGCAATCTGGAAATTGGTGAAATTTTTCAAATCAAGCTAAGATCTTGAAGGTAATTTAGTATTAACAACTGAGTTGAAAACGTAAATTGGCCACCGTAAAGCTTTTTTACCCTTTACGGTGGCCAATTTACGTTTTCAACTCAGTTGTTAACACTAAATTACCTGCGATACTCTCCCACCGACGCAGCACCACAGTTTCTTTAGAAACTTACCCCCTTAATTCATAAGATCTTGAAGGCTGTGTCAACCGATTTAATCCAACTTGTAACTTTATTTAACACATATCATGAAGTCACTTGATAGCGTTTTCCCGCAAAAATAGTCCGGTCAAAGAGAAAGCGAAAATTGGGAGAATCGAATCTTCAATTTATTCTGCGGAAGTTACATAAAAAGTTAATTAAATCGCTTTACTTCCGGTAATTGTCATTTCCCTGACTTGTCGAGGAAAACTCCACTAATCCCATGGCATGTGACAAACTTGTATATTCGTTTCTAATTATCGCCAGAGAAGAATAAACATTTGTCACTTTGTCATGTTGTAATTTCTTTTGTTATTAATACTGATAATATTTCACCCAATCATAAGAACCTGTTATTTGCGTTATAATGTCAATTGTTTAAAACTGCGCGCATCTGTTTTGTAAGTTGTTTCATCATTTAGCTGCGTTCGTCTTTAGACGCGTGGCTTTTGTGTTTTGCTTTTGTTACTTAGTAAGTAATTTATTTTGAATTCGGATAATCTTCTCAAGTTAGAACAAAGAGTTTGATCGCGGTTTTAAGGGGCTAGATTTTTCAGCTAAGTTTTGGTTGCTTTTCGTGATGATTCAAGGAACCTCGGCGCCGTTTGGAAAGCCTGTGAAAAGATCTTTCACAGCACATCATATTCGTATGTTTCCAATGTTTCACGACATAAATTCAGGAAATCTTTGTGGGATCGGCACCAAACTACAACATAGAATTGGCCGCGGCAGTGACAGTGAGAAAAAGGACAGCTACACAGAAAATGTTGAGCTACTAAGAAGCTTATCTCTCGCAAGTCCAAGAGGATTTTTATTCCGTTTATACAAAAATGAGCCGAGGAAATCCCCAAGTCAGAATGAAATGAGAATACGTTCAAAATCTGATCGTCGGGAAGATTTGTATACAGCTATTGCGGTTG